TGTATTTCAATTTTCTAAAATTAATCTATGGTATATAAAATAAAATTATTTCTCACAATGTCATTAATGTGTTTCAAGATATCACAGAAAATTATATTTTATTATCTTAATGCTAATGGAATATTTATGTAACACATCTAAGCAAAATATAACTACTTTTTTTTTTAAATCATATATTAGAATTACATGTATTATGATATAGACATTATTTAAGACCAATTACAGAAAAGGATAACGAATTATCAATAAGAAAGTGGGATAATATTGATGTAATTTAAGTACCTATATCTATCACATTCATGGTAATTGACATTGATAATCTTTCCATATATCATCCATGTTAAAAGGTTGGTTATTACAACCTGAAGAGTACTGTTTTAATGYATTGATGTTTTGACCAGTAACAGGAGCTGATGGTTTTTCATTATCRGTACTAAAAAATGAAGTGTTTGTGTTTTCGGCTATGGGATGTAACTTTTGGCCTAAAGTTGCGGATAAGGGATATGATGATTTAAAGTAACTTGAACTGTTAATCTTGCTCATTGGRTTTGGTATTACTTGAGGTTGTTTTTGGAATTTAGAATTTAGCATATAATTAGTACTCTGTTTAGTGGATAAATAATTCATATTTGACAAAAATGGTTTTTTAAATGTGTGGATTTTTGTTGGTAAAGTACATCCAAAATCTTTTAAGCTGTTGTYATTAGTCCAAACAGTGCGTAATGGTAATCTAGGTAAGCTATTTTCTAATTCATTCATATTACAATTTTCTACAACAGTGTTTGATGCATTAACCTTTTTTACTTCTTGGTGTTTCTGTGAAAATTGCAGACTAACAAACTTTTGATTATTCACATTAAATCTAGATGGATGAGTTTCCATATGCGTAACTGGTGTAAAATTGTTAAATTCCTTGTCATTATTTTTATATTGCGTCAGGTTAACATTTTCTTTTCTGGGACAACTGTTTATGAGATTCGGTTTAAAAGGTTTAAATGACATGGTTTTGGAAGAAGTTGGTGGCAATACATTAAKACGCTGATTGCTGTTGTTAGGAATAATAGGAACAAATCGCACTCGGTTACCTTGTGGGTTTATTGAAATATTCTTCTTTAAATCTTCCCACCTTTCCTTAATTGAAAATTAAAAAACGAGAAACTTTTTAATATCAAGAAGGTACATCTAGACAAYAATAAATGCTTACATACTCTTTCATTACTACTACGCTAAAACTATACTAGAAAAATGTTCATCTACACTTCTAAAAGTATTAATATTAAGTGTTAGTGAAATTCTAAATAAATTTTCAATAAGTACACCTAAGTACATACATGAATAACTACCTAGTTGAACAATACAACATTTTATTTTATTTATACAGATCAGATTTTCCTAACCTAATTTAAACAATCTGTGTGCTTAAAGCTATTCAATACTCAATTAAGTACACTAATAGTAAATAAATACTGTCAAAATTAATGTTTATGAAAGGTAGACAAGTGAGCACGGCTCTACAGTACAGTAGCTGTCGAATGGTCAATAATGGATGTATTAAACTTGAATAAAATGATATATCATTGTGTACAAAAACAATTCAAAGYGGGGACGGTGTATCAGTCTAATATTTAATATTGGTATTTGATATTAGTAATACCGGTAATACCTAATAGGTGGATAGGTTGAATTAGTTTTTGTAAAAATTCATTGCATTGACCTACCTATAACATTAAAATGATCACTGATCGCGGAAAATGTGCTCTTATTTTTTTCCCCAATATAAGGTAGGTATAAAAAAAATGTGTATTAAATTTTAAAGCTTTTGACTAAACTAATTTTTATCGACATTTATAAAAAAAAACTAAAATAAACCTAATAATATAATCTAAATTTTTGTTTGCCGAGGTTACCAAATAATTGCTATGTACTGACGTCCCGCTAAGAGTATTAAATACGCATTTACGCGTAGATATACTCGAGTGTCCCTGGGGCATATGAATCATATGATTTCACCACCGATCACATTTTGTCAAACTTTGAACGATTAGACCATAGACACATGCTTATCTTATCTATAGGAGAGCCCCAAATAGACCAAAAGCAGATGTGAGCCACCAGAGTCAGTGCAAGCACCTTCACGCCAGACACCATTCTAAATTAATCATTTGGACTTAGAATATTTTTCAATTAAATCATTCTTGTTCCGTAATAGTGTTTTATTCACATAGTAATCAAATAAATATATAATAATTAATGGCAAGTCAAGTTGTTATACTTATTTCCCTCAATCCATCTACCTCAACACCAGTCGTTCGTCCTCCTGTATGCTGGGACGCTACATAATTATATTAAAATATTAACAAATATTCATACCTACTTAATTTTTATTATTTCAAATACTTTAAAAAGCATAGTTTTCAATTTTTACCCCTCAAAAGTATCATATAGTTCTAATTMGCTACCAGAAACCTTAATCAGAGCATTTTTTCCTACTATAAAAAGTATCTCCAGACACAAAAAA